TCTGCAGCATCCCAAGCGGGCGGCCAGGGCAGAGGGCCGGGCTCAACAAAGGGCTTTCAACCGGCGTTTCGCGCGCGGGGTGGATTCCCAGAAGAAAGGGGAGTCGGGTAAAAAACGGTGTTTGGTGAATAAGCTTTTTTTCAAGGGGTCTACACAGGTGGGCTCTTTCGGGTCAGATTTGCTGGGGGAGACGTAGGAGGCAGCAGGCAGGCAGCTGTGACCCTGCCCACGTCCCCAGAGCCGGTCCCCGCGCAACCGGTGGGACTCCACGCAGGCAAGTCTTCCTGCGAGGGATCCTTTGAAAGCCTATCCTGACACATGCCGTCCAAGGCACTAATCATCGATGTTTACTGTATAGCTCATATGTGCTGCACCTGGCAACCAGCAAGGGAGCTGAAGGCAGCACGTGTTTTATATTTGAGTTGTTACTTAAAAAATCAAATTATTTGCATCAGTTTTTGACATTGTTTTTTTTCCCTTGGCTCTGTGTGCCAGGGCTCACAGTGCGTGCAAAGATCTGTTTGCTACGTGTAAGCAATATTTTCCCCAGTAAAAAAAAAAGTGTAGACAAGTTAAACATAAAAGGTGTAAAAGATGGTATGTCTTTTCATTTATAAGCCGCCGTGGTATTTCATACAGTCTTATGTCAAAGAGATTAACCCGCTGGAGCTATACTGTATATTTATAATTGCGTACAAATGCATGCTATTGCTTCATAGATTAGTCTTTGTTAAAAAATCATTTTGATATATTTGTTGTAGCAGCATAACTAGCCCTGGGGGCACTGGGTATAATTAGAAAAGGGCATGGGGGGAGGCGGGGCTTGTAGAATAAAGCAGTGGCCTTAGGATCACAGGTCCTAATTATAATTTATAATTAACCCCAGAATTTGCACAAACCATCTAAGCTAAACAAGGACTATCATTTTTGCTGTTTAAATTGCAACCCTTTTTTCTTAATTTCACCACCTGCTTTGTTGATGTTGTTGTTTTCGTGGCTTAAAACTTAAAAACAAGGGGGGGGATTAGGAAAGCGGCATTTAAAACTTTTCATATGAAATATTTAAAGTGGGAATTTACTAGTTTAGAGCCAACATAGCGAATCTGCAGCAGAAGGAGTGATCTGAAACTTGTTTACTTATAATTAAAATATTCCTTATTTATTTTTCTTGCCTTTTTTGCCCTTCTGCTCCCCTCTGCCCACAACTTCTGCCATACACCTCAAGTGTCCGTGAGCAGGAGCTATAAGGAATCGGATGAAATTGTGTCTCCACACAGATGGAGAAGTTTAATGTCATTTGTTGACCCAAATTCATAGACCCAAACCCATATTGTCCCTCGTGCATCTGTATATACCATGTACATACAGAACTTTTTTCACTGTTTTGCCCTCCTCTCGTTCCCCATCACTGCTTCAGTGTAATAACAGTTGCGTGTGAGAACATCCATTTCCTCCAGCTGCGTTTTAGCTACCCTTGCTGCAGAAACGCTGCTCGCTAGAGGAGTCGGTACTTCTGTCCATGAGATCAAACGGCAAATACCAAAGTTGAGCTGGAGACCTTTGCTGAAAACAAAATTGCCAAAAAGCATCAGAACGAGCTGGTGCGACTTGAGCTTCTCCTGGGGATTTTTTTCAGCCCCATCATCCACGTACTGGAATTGTCTAGAGCACAGAAGTGAGTCTTAAATTACAGTGATGCTAAGCTATATACCCTTTGTGTTCTTGCAAAAGGGAAAATAAATATGTTCCCTCAAAAAGATTACATTTTCAAAGTATATTTGACTTGAATATTTAATTAGTTTTCAAAATTACCGAGCTAATAAATTAAGTGCAAGGCTTTGGGTAGTGTTTTTCCAGTTCTATGTATATCCTGCATTTGTCACTAATTAATGAGTTCCTAATGCTTCAGCTTCTGGGAAGATGAGCAACAAAGATTAACATAACTAGTAAATCCGAAGATGTGCAGCTGGGTTATAGTATTTGAAATTTGACAAAAACATTGGAAGTATTATTATTTGTGACATGGCTCAAGATGGGGGATTGTGAGGAAAGCAAAGATGACAGAACTGGTGCTAACCACTGTGACAACAACTTGAAAAGCAGCCGACATGACATCTTTCCTATCATGCTGCCGAAAATGTCAACTTTGTGAAGGACAGTGAGAAAATGGTTTGCCGAAAATTTGAAAGGTAGATTCAAGAGATGCTCATCATGTCAGATGCAATATAGTCCGCAGCTGGGTGAGAAAGGGAGTCCTTGCCGTGGTGATGGCTCTCGGTTGGCAGGCCCTTCCAGACATCCGTGCTGCTCCAAAAATGGCTACAGCTGACCTGTAGATTGTCTCAAGTTTGCAGTAGCATGATACGTGAGAGCGACGTGCGTTTACACCACGCGGCGGGCCCTGCATGGAGGGAGCGGTAACCAGAGCCACTGGGTTTGGTGTCCTTCTGGCTCACAAAGACCCCCAAGAAAGGTGAAGACCAGGGGGTTAAGCCTACGTGGTCTGCACGCACCTCGGTGGTTGGGTTGGCATCCCTTGGGGAGTTGTGACTTGGGCTAGAGCCACCTTGGCCAGCGGTTCGCTCTCCAGAGCACACCCTTCATCTTCGTGTGAGTCAGTGTTTTCAAAGCGATGCTTCCAGAGCTGCCACAGCCCTGCCGGGACGCGGCTTGATGCTCTCAGCCCATTTCAGGTGTCCACCACAAGTTATTATGTGGCAAGCGCTAAATAACCGGTTCTGGCAAAACTGAAACTCTTTGAATACAGTGAGATACTGCGATTTGTGTGAAAGGGCTGCGACCCAACCCAAGCTGTCAGATCCTGCCATTAAATCTCACTGGTTGAGGTTATTGACCCAGCAAAGGGTAACATAACTTTCAGACCATTTCCAGTCCATCAGCAGATCACTGCCAGGGCAGGTGGCTTTTCCTACCTCGTTTGTCAGCGCTGATACAATTAACCTAGTGACACTCCGTGAGCTGTTATGGGTACAGGGGGAGAACCAAATGCCAAAAGTCAAATGAGGGCTTCAACCCTGCCCCTTAATGTACGGCATTTATTGCGGTCTGCCTTGAATCATCTGCTTTTCTGCTGGGGAGCAAAGCAGGCGCTGTGAGGTGCACAGCATCACAAAAGGCATGAACGTCTCTGCCTGAATATTAAATATTTTATGGAACTTTGGAATAAAAATATATTAAGCATGTTCAGACATTAATTTTTGCTCGATACCTAATTTGGTTTTTTTGTGGCTTGCTCATTTCTTCAAAATAACTAGTCCTAATTAGGTACTAATGAGACCAGATCCATACTTCCAAAACTGTTTATGAAATGTGTTCCCCAGCTGAGACATTTTATCCAAGTTTCAGCCTAAATCTTTTTTTCCTTTTTTTTTCCCTAATACACAACTGAATTTGGCAAATAATCAAGTAAAGATTTCTGATTAAATGCTGTTTAAATTTAAATACATCCCCTGGTCTTTTTCTGTGTCCGTGTTGCAAGTTTTATTTCATGTATATTTAGCATTAAAATTTTGCAGTAAAGATCATGCAAGGTTTTCTAGTTCCTCTTCGGAAATATTTTAATGGTTTATTCACCTGTATTAGAATATCAGAGTTCGGATTTATGATGCTAAGAGCTGACTAAGAGCAGGGTCAAGGAGAAGTGATTGTACAGATTTTATAGCTTTTAAATTTTTATAGGTTTGGGGTTGTTTTTTTTTTAAGTTTAGGGCCTTTGATTCTTTAAGAGGAAAATAAAGCCAACCAATTAACCCCTGACAGGAGGTTCATTAGAAGCTTTGTAATCCCTTGCCAAGTCTTTTGTATAGCCAAACCCGTCTAGTACTGTGGATTTATGCAGCTTAAGCTGAACACTGGAGGAGGCCTTTAAGTAAGAACATTTGTTCGATTTTAAGACGTCTTACATTACCTAAAGAGCGCCTGTGCCAGCAGAGTTGCCCAGGAGTACACAAATCCGTAGACTTTGCTCGCCGGCAGTGGGGAGCGGTGCCGTTGATTGTCCGCCCGCCCGATTCCTTTGGTGGATGGATTAGAGTCGGTCTCTCCTCTCGCCCCGGATTCTGCTGCGCGCCGTATTTTGCCGTGTGGGTGTGGGGGAGAAGGAGGGGATTGCTGCTTTCGACTCTCGGATGGGTTGGCATCGGCAGAGGTTGGAAGAGCAAGGGGAGCACCGCATCATCCAGCCCCGGGAGAGCTTCAGCAGGGTTCGCCCGCACACTGTGCTCTGTGAAAGATGAGAAACGCCCCGGGGGCAGCAGGACCTGGGTTGGGTGTCTCACAACGCACTCCTGCGCACTCCTGAAATACCGGAGTGTCGTAAATACTCCGAGCAAAATCTTTGGTGAACTGTATCGATGTGTTCATTCTCGTGAATTAAAATGAAATGACTGAAAAGGCATTGCATTTTCAAATACAGAATGCATGTCGCTCTCCAGGCGCGTTTCAGCAGAATGTACTGAAGATGGTTCACTTCCAGAAATCACTGTCATGGGGTGATTCAGAGGTTATGAAGGAGTGCAGAATTTTATATTCTGTTTGTATATATGCCTGTTGTCAATATTCTTTTATACTGTGAACTGTGTTAAATTAGCAGGTGAATTTTTCTGCAGAAATTAAGCCCCTATTTTGCCAGCAATGGGCCCGATCCTGCAGTGAGAGCTGGCATTGCTCTCCCTGTCATGTCCCTGTATTTAAAAGGGGATTCTGCTTTTCCCGACTTCTCTATCACAGAAAAAATAAAGGGTGGGGGGTGGGTGTCTACATCCAGATTATCACTCTGAGAGGGGATATTTATTTCTTTCTTTATTTTTGATACCTCGGCAGTGGTGCTGCCGCGACCGCCCATGTCTCGGTGTGGCACATCCTCTGTCCCCGGTCTCATAGTTGGTGACGTCCCTTTCCGAAAGGGACTGTGTGCTGTGGGGATGGGTTACCAGGGTGGCGAGGTGGAGTCTGAATCATTCGTGGCATTTCTCCTCCAGGCCTGACGGGATAGGAACTGTGACCGTAGACGAGAAAGAGCGTTTCGAAGAGATCAAGGAGCGGCTTCGTTTGCTTCTGGAGAATCAGATCACGCATTTTAGGTAAAAGCAGACAGCCCAGGCTGAACGCGAGAGGACTGATTTCCTCCCAGCTCCCTCCTATAAGCAGCAAAGCCAAAAGGCAGGTTTTGAATGCATACGGGAATTTTGCGTAAGTGGCACAGACCTACACAGGGCAGTGAAGCTTGCACTAAAGCACGTTTCTCGCCGGAGAGTGATTTTAAATATATAACCTTTAAAGGGTATTTCAAAACATCTTTCTCCCATAGGCATGGTAATGCTGTGGATTTTTTGTCTAAAATATGACAACAACAAAAAAATTCCCTTGTCCTCTTATTTCTCTCTTCCCCTCTGCTCGCTTATTGCCCATCTATTTTCCCTTCTCCCTCACATGCAGACAGGCAGGGCTTTCTGCTGGAATGTCATAGTTACAGAAAGGATGGATGCTGCCCCTGCAGACAGGGATGGATTGCCCCTGCACGCCGGCCGGGTCCTGGGCGGGCGGTGCAGGTTTGCGCGCAGTCGGGTGATGTACATTCACACGCAGAGTTCCTGCCAGAGCCCTTCGGAGCTGCCACTCGCCGCGGACGGTGGCTGCTTCGGCTGATTACCTACAGCCTGGTGCATCGCCAGGTCTCTAGCTGGAAGTAAACGTCCTTTCCAGAGGGGCTGTTTTTCCCCATTTTTATAGAGATGGTATTTAACTCTCTTCTATGAGATCTAAAAACTCTCCAGGTGACACTCAGATTTAAAAAGCTGCTAAAACTATCACCTTATTACTACCCTGTATTCAATTTTGCTGCCTTAGTGTCCACACCATCAAACCCTTTTGGAGAGTTACCCCGTCGAAAGACTGCTTATTCCGGACATAGGGACCAGGTTGTCGCGTGGGCACATTTATGAAAGCATCTTCATAGCGCTGGAAAGGCTTGTTTGCGTGCACCTGGTCTGATGTTAACATGATGTGGTTTTTCTAGGTACTGCTTTCCATTTGGCCGTCCAGAAGGTGCACTAAAAGCTACTCTATCGCTGCTGGAAAGGGTAAGCATAAGAATAACAGAGAGTAGTTAAAATTACCTGTATTCATGGATCTTTCCATCTAGAAGAGCTTGAGGAACTGTTGTTTTTGCATAGGTTGTGCGATTAATATAGTTAATATTGAAATGTGGGGGTTTAGCTGGGGTTGTTACCTCTCCTGCTTCAGCTTGGAGGAGGGTGTGTAGCCTGGCCACTAAAGCAGCACAGCCTGCGTCTGTGTTGATAGCCAAGGGTGGCGGATCTTGCTGGCAAGCATCTGCACTGCAGACCCTTGTAAACGATGTCCGGTGAAATTCCCGTCTCGAGGCATACTCGTTCCCTCCAGGCGTATGAAACCTGCTCACCGTCATCCTCCCCGTCCTTATTTCAGCCTTCCCGCTCCTCTGACATCCTTCTTACCTTGGCTAACCCACAGTATGGCCAAGCCCAGACCTAAGCCCGAGTCAATCAGCAGAGCCCGGGAAGGGCATAACATTGCCTGGCACTGGGGAACTTGTGATAGATCTTAATGTCATGCCCCAAAAAATCAGAAGCACCTATTTCAGGGCATGCCACAGGGTATAGATACAGAAGGGAAATAATACGACAGGGGTAGGTCCCACGGCTCAAGCTGGCCAAGGTGACTTTGTAGTGGATGATGCTTATTGCATACCCCGAGAGCCACGCAGCGCTAGCGCAGGAATGGATGTATGTGCTGGGCTTTGAGAAAAGCAGTTCTGTGTGCCCGATGCCACAACAAATCAGATTTTCTTGTGTCAAGGTTCTGATGAAAGACATAGTTACTCCGGTCCCTCAAGAGGAGGTAAAAACAGTCATCCGTAAATGCTTGGAGCAAGCAGCTCTAGTCAATTATACTCGACTATCAGAGTATGCCAAAATTGAAGGTAAGGCTCTTTCTTTGTGAAATTACAATTTTGTTGCATTTCTAGGTGGCAGCTGTGGCTGGGAGCTATTTAAAAGAAGCTCATTCGCTATTTATTCGCTTGTCAATAAAACTGATGTGATTCTGAATCATTTGTGTGGTGTTGGCTTCAGAAGCAGTTAAGAATGGAAGCTATGCAAAACATTTCTTTTTCTGGAAAAGAGAGAGGAAACGGTTAAAGGAACTGTAGCTTTTTTTTTTTTTTGATCGTTAGTGCATTTGGCCAGTGGTGTGGTATTCAGACTCATGTCGTGGTTTTAAAAAACAAATTGAGAAATACTTGGGATGTCATCTTTGCAGCTGAAGGTATAGTGCAGCTAATTGCTTGTGACAGTGGAGTTGAGGAAACAAATGAAAAATAAGAAGCTGAAAAAACATTTAATCTATGCTTAATTGTTTGTAGCCAATTTAAAATGTCTTTTTTCTGGGAGTGTTTCATTGTCTTTGCAGTTTGCATAGCAGTCATTGATCAGTGATCCCATACTTGCATCAGATTTCTTTCTTGTCACTCTAAATCCGGTACAGCTGAGATTATTGACCTTTTAAGTTATGGAAGAATAACAACCAGTGACCAGAGACACGCGTAGCCATCAAAAAGACATTTTAAAGCTTGCTAGAGGATATGTGTTAGCTGAAGCTTTATGATCCAGTTGTTCTTTACATGTTAATCAGTTTACGTTGGTACCGTGTTGACTGCTGTTCCCAACTTGAAACTCCTACCCAACTTTATCCGAGTTCCCAATTGCTTAAACCTGTATGTTCCAGATGAATGGTATGTTCTGCTCAAGACTTTGGGTTTCTGTCATGTGTGATGTGAAGCTTTCCCACGGCTGAGATTATTGTTGTATGCCTCTAGGACAATATTGAGAGGAGGAAAAAAAAAACCCCAAAAGTCCCTCTGATTTGTTCTTAGTTCTTGTTTACATAAAAAATTGGGTTATTATATGACAAATTGTCCAGGTTCTGTACATGACATGTCCTCTCTTTTTCCTTTTTTTTTCTGTCTAACGATGCAAATTGTGTACCAGTGGTAATGAATTCATTGTTATGCATCCAGTGAGAAACACTTAAGAATTGGGCACTAAAAGGATGTTTATCAGCTCTTGACTTGGTAATGAGTGACAAAAATAGAGAAGGAACGAAGGTTTCATAAGCACTGTATTATCAGGCAATTTATCGAAGTACTCAACTTCACAGGATATTTTAATTGGTGTATTCTGTAAAATGCAATGTTTAAATATACTTGACGAGGATGGAGAAGGACTGAGAATCAAAAGCAGCTTTTCTGTTGATGGATGTTTCTACCCAGGGCTGGCTCCCTTAGGTTCTCTGTATAAATATCACTAACTCCTTGGTAAGATTTGCTCTCTTCTTTCAGATAAATCTATGCAAAAACAAACTTTATGATCTGTAAGTAAAAATGCATTCATTTCCAAAGTAGAACAGTTAGTGTGTACTTTTCCTTTTGTGCCTCAATTCTTCTTGGTTGTGTTAATTATCTGCCCTCTTTTTTGCACTGTGACTTTTAGGTCTGGGAATACTTTGAAGCAACAAACCTTTTTTTTTTTCCAGCTACCTTTTCAGAGAAATAGTTCATTCCACACTACCTGCTCTCTTCTGCTTTTCTCCTCCTTTATCCGTGATTGGCCACAGCCACTTTTTGATATTATCTCTATAAAAGTGGTTGTAACACCAATTTCCAAGCATGCTGGGATTGTTAATTTGAACAACCCAACATCCGCCAGCTGCATGCATCAGGTTTTCTTTCATGAGCATAGTCCACTACGTGTTCAAATACTTCTGCAGAAGAGCAAATAACAAATTTACCTCGGTTGGATGCGTTCCTGCACGCTGTACAGGGCTTTGAAACCTTGCTTTTTTAAAAGCTGACATTTGAAGAGCCACGCGTTTAGGAGAGTTTTGTCAGAGATGCAAAACCAAATCAGTGGCAGCAGTGCTTGAGGCTATGCTTATGAAGAAATACCTGTGAAAGCCTTAGATACTGAAGGCTGAAATCCTTAGTATCTCGGAGCCTTAAACCAATGAAATTCTATTTCCCTCTACTCATGACGTTTTGATCATTATATTCTTGCAAACAGTTCAGAGCAAACCTCTAGAGTCATGGTCACAGCCTCTCTTGTGACTCATGGGCATGCTGAATGGTTAATCCAGTAGATCTCCAATTTTAACCCTCCTTTTTTTTCCCTTTTTTTTTTTTTTCTTTTCTTCCTTTTATCCTGTGTGTATCCCAAAATACTCTACGGCTACTTTCCTTTTAACCTAATATAAAGTTTTCCTCTGACCTATAGCCTATAACCTCTTTACCTCTGACCTAAGCCTCTTGCATGCCCAAATCCTCTTTTATAGGGAAAAAGAGAGAAATGTATGAGCATCCTGTCTTCTGCTTGGCCTCTCAAGTGATGGATTTAACCATTCGTGAGTACCTACCACCCTCCTCTCCATGCTGTCCTCACTCTTTCCGTTTTCATTACCTCAAGAAAGTCCAGATCCAAACCAACTCACTCTCCTTGCTTCAAGTCTTTTAGCATTGGCTTGTCTGTTGCTTCTGTCTGTGAAACCCAGTGTGAGAAGTCCAGTCACTTTTTATCAGCCTAAACCAGGTTAGACGATTAACCCATCTGTTTGTGATAAACTCAGATCGTCTGTAAGTTTTTTCAGTTCTTCTTTATGTCCGTGACCTGAATGCATTTTTACTTTGCTTCTGTGTAACCCCAATTTGTAAAGTGCTTGTCACTGGTACACAATCAAAAGGTAGGGGCTACATCGGGGAGAAGTGAGCTAGAGGTCAGATAAAGGACACTTGGAAAAAGCCATCCCTTTGCCTGCGTATAAGATCTTTACCCGACCCTGTGTATAAGATCGTATAAGGCTGTCCTTTCTCTGTACATCAGATCTTACGTGTCTCCTGTCTGTTAGCTCTCGAGCAGAAGGATGCGCTTTACTTGCTCTCCTCCTCGATTTTTTCACTGACTCCTTTGCACCGAGCTCTGGAGGGGACATCCCACCCCGCTGTCACTTGGAGATTCCCTCTGTGTCCTCAGAGCTCGCCCTCTCTGGTTTTCTATTTGTGCAGCGTTTTCTTTCACCTCCGTGAAAGGAGCTTCTTTTGGTAACCCCACGCTTTGGGGGGGGGCGGGGGGCGAGACGGCGTGACTTTTCTTCTTTTCAAATGTCATATATCACGCATAACTGGGGGGCTGTGCGGTCCACTTGCTCATTAATCCTGCATATCTGTTCTTGTTTCTCTCTTTTCTCTCCTTGTTGCTTTCTCTCTTTCATATAGAGAATCAAAAGGACGCAGGTGAACAATTGTATATGCATTATAAATTGCTAGGACTGTTGAGTTATATTTATTTTGTTTTCTTTTTTTTTCATAGCTCCTTAAGATATGTACTCCTTCAGGCTGAAAATGGAGATGCATTAATACTTAAGGAGTTAATTTGTGCTGTCTACATAATCTCCTTTTCCTCCTTCCTTAGAATAGAGTGTAGATTAGAACTACCTTATAGAAATACAGTATCCTCTTAGGAGACAGTTTTAGAGGAGAATCTAGCCTTTGTAAAGAGAAAGCTTCTTGTTTTCCAAAAGAACCGCAGCTCATTTTTGATGAAAAAATGTTGGTGATTTGGCCATTAATTTAACACACCTAACAAGCACATTTATAACTAAACTAACGTTCATTTTTGGTTTTCATACCTTCTGTTTGAGCCCCTGATGGGAGGACTGGGTTTTTAATTTTTTTTTATTCTTTTCTATTCTTTTCTTTTTTTTTTGTTAATGTGTAACAAATGATCCGGTCGGACAGAAGTCATGTTTGTCTTTCGTTTATAACCTGTGGTGACATGTAACGAGGCAAAGGCTCAGCTCAGACCCGGGCGCCTCAAGTGCCCGTCTCTTCAGAAGGGACGGTGGAGCTCTGCAGCCCCTGCTCTCGTTTCTGTTGTATCCCAGAGTCCGAAAGTCCTTGAAACCTGAACTGTTCATTCCTTTTTGTGAGTAGATTGTTCTGTTTTGTGGAAAAAAAAAAAAAAAAAGGATCGGGTTGATTTCATCTCTATTTGCAAAGGGAAATTGCTTTTAAAAAGTGGTACAAGAGGCTGGGCCAGGTTCTGCTCTGGCTTCCCCAGGCCCCTGCAGCTCAAATTTGCTTGATGGACTTGATGATCTTAAAGGTCTTTTCCAGCCGTAATGATTCTGTGATTCTATGAAATTTGGCCCAGGATCTAGAGCGATTGCGTGACGCTAAAATTAATTTTGAATAGCAATAAACATTTAGAAAATGGAGAATAATTTTTCCCTATGGCTACGAGAGGTGCAACTAAGCCAAGAGCAAATAGAACAATCCCAGCTATTACCATTAACGGCAGCGGATTAAAGTGAGCGCGGGCTGTTGTGCACGGAGCACAATCGATGCACGGAGCGCGATAAATGCACGGAGCATCGCGCTGGCTGGCAGCGGCTCGTCACGTGCTTACAGTTTAGAAATTCAGAAGGACGTTTCTATGGCCCAGGTCATTTAAAAATAAAACTGCTTCTTCTCGATCCTTGGAGCGAGTGAAAGGACGCAGGGAGCTGTGACTCCGCTGCTTCATGCCCACAAATCTCCCATTATCTTAAATGAAAAATTTTCAGGCAAGGTCAGCAGGACTCAACTTGAAACCAGTTCCTCAGCTTAAGTGGAGTCAAAAGTGACTGGGGTTTGGCCTGACTTTTTATTTATTTTGCCGAAAGCAAGAATAAAAATAAGATACTGAAAACAACTTCTTCTTAAACACAACAATGTCACCCTTTGATGTCCTTTCTCCTGAAAAGTCTTTAGTCTCTTGCCTCACTTTAAAAATATTGATTTGAAATAGAACACTAAACAGAACATTATCCTAAAACAATTAAAGATGAATGACTTGTTTTAATTATTAATCAGACAAAATTACTAACACTCAGATTAATCAGTGCAACCTTTTAATAAGCGTTCGTCTGCTTATTTATGTAAGTCGGGAATGCATCATTCCTTTAGAAAAGAATAACTTCTCCGTTCCTTAAGCACAGGATTTGTGAAGGGTACTGCGCTGTGCTGGAGTGCCGTGGCACTGAGGGATCCCGAGAGCACAAGTGCCACTGTGCACTGCTGGAGTTGGGCACAGGCAGCTCTAGAGCTGGTGCCAGCCGAGGCGATAGTTGTCAGTTTGGCAATTGATTGTTTGGTGTGAGACTTTTTTTTTCTTTTCCTTTTTTTTTTTTTTTTTTTTTTAGTTTTCAGACTGAGTATTTCTCATATCGTGATTTGGTTTTGGTCTCTGTAAAGAGAGGCTTCTCGTGGCACTGCTGAGTTGATGTGCAGAGGTGAGAAGTGGAGGAGATGCGGGGATGGAGCAGCTCTCACCTGGCTGCTCGGTGCCGGGCGGCAGAGCAATGGGGCACGGGCTGCAAGCGGAAAGGAACCGGAGAGCAGAGGGACCCACTGAAGTCCTATTGCTCTGTCACCAAGGGAAATCAGCTACTCTTGGGCTGTCCCAAAATGCCAGGTTTTTGCACGTCTGGCAGCCGCCCCAGCCCCTGTCCCAGGAAGCAGAGCTCTGGGGCGCAGCATCACACCATGCTGCATCGTTGGCATCCACTGTCTTCCCCAGGTCTGTCCCTCCTGGCCAGGCTGGCAGGGAAGCCTGCCTTCCCTCGAAAATGCACCGACCGTGGTGCCGGGGTGGGTGCAAAGCCAAAACCCGATCAGTGCCGGGGTCGGTGCTGCTCACGGAGCGGTGAGGGGCGGCCACGGTGCTGTGCAGGTGTCTCTCAGGCGCTGGGGTCAGGCAGGGAAACCAGAGGAGAGGTACCGAGCGTGGGGGCTTTGGCTGCATCAGCCTCAGCTGGCACCGGCCGTGGAGCATCTTGCACATAGCATTCACCCCAGCAGGCGTGGAAAGTGTCCTTGGCCGAGGAAGAAGGCACAGAAGAGGTCGGATTTTGACTAGAGCAATACAGCAGGTTGTTAAGAAGCAGTGGTATTTTGCAAGGCAGTCGGTCTGGCCCTTGTCACAGTCCCCATGGTCACTTTTTGTTTCTGGATCTCCACCTGGGAAGCTCTGTGCATGTATCCATATCTCTTTGTGAGCACAGTGAAGGATTAGGGGCTGAGCTGCCCGTTTATTAACCTGGCCCGACGCAAGGAGAGGTCCTGTGTGATTTGTCAGCCCAGCCACCCCCAGGCAATCACTCCCAGCATTTGTGGTAAACCACAACGCTTAAAAAGAAAATAAAATTACATTCCTCAAGTAAATATGGACGTGAAATGTATGAAAACATCAGTCTTTGTATGTGGGAGTGGAGACTGAAGCCATTAATAAATCATGCACTTTAACTCAGGCATGACTACAACCTGTATTTGTGTGCTGCCGAACTGCTGCTTTATTTGTTTCATTCCTTGAAATGGCACTCATTTGTGTTTAACGAAGAATCCTTATGCAGCTTTCGAGATTTCCTCTCACCCTCTCCAAGGCCGTGTTTAAAGCGGTATCAAAGTTATTACAAGAGCTTCAGAAATCACAAAGATCTGCATTGTGCCATTATCTTTCTGCAAGTCGCTTACCAACTGCAGAGCAACTTGCTGCCTGAGGCATGAGATACAGTTCAGACATGCAAAAATTCTTCACTAGGCTGAATAATCATCAGAAAGTCAGAAGATCAGTTCTCTTTTCAGTATGTTGAGTTTTGAGAGCTGAATTAGAGTCTCTCTGTGAGTTGAAAAAAAAGCGTTTCTATGAATTTTTCTTACTTTTAAGATAATACATCTTATTTTGAAAGAAAATATTATATAATCTCTGAAATCCCTTTCAGATACACGCAAATTCATTTCAGGAATATAATAAAAGGCTGCTTTGCCTTGTCCTCAGGCTAAGTTGATTATTCTTTATAGATATCTTGAGAACAGCAGCTCTTTTTGTCATTTTCATGATTGGCTTGCAAATGAACGCGCACATAACACTTACATACCAAAGCCTTTGGCAAGGGTCGTATATTTTTAATTATTACAAGGAGATCATTGAGTCGGTGGCTACGCTTTTAAAAAATATGAAAAGTCAATAATACTCTTCTATTGCAAGTGTAATTCTTACTGTTGCTGATGTGTTAGTAGCCCGTCTAGCAGAAATCACGGTGCTGAGTGAGAAATACATAGTTTTAAAATCTTCCATTCGGTAAAGACTCTCACGCAATAAATTTTATGCAATATACATAACCAAAGTAACCCAGATTTTTTAATATACCTGTTACACTTATTGCAGGCTGAAGCTTATTGCAAGAACAACCCCAGAATTTGCCAAGTAATTCGAGTTTCTGCAAGTATTTTATTTGCAAGTATCATGCAGAACCATAAAAACCTTTGGCAGAAGTTTGTCCAGGAAAGCATTTTGTCAGGTTGTTAGTAAGGAAGAAACTGCTCCTGCCTCTGATTTCAGTGATGTTGGTGTTTAAATCTTATCCATTTGGCACACGTGAGCAACGAATACAAGAGCATTTCTGATGCTAAACTGGCTGTGGCGAGGGATTAGAGAGGAAAAGGACAGGGAAGAGAGAAAAGCCAAAGTGAAACAAAACCTGCCACACAAGCTGCAGCTGATCGCTGGCAAGTGCCATAAACCCATCCAGCATTACGCATCTCCCTCGCTCCCAGCAGGAGCCGAGACACCCTGTGAAAGGCACCTCATGTATCATCTCCGAGACCCGGACCCAGAAAAGCACGTAAACTCACAGGGCATTGCAGTCACAGCCCCATTTATATTTAAATTTACAGATGAAATTAATGACTTTCCTTAGCCAGACCTTAATCTTTTACATTTTCTTGCAGTAAAGAAACAATAAAGAAACACTTTCTTTAAAAGTGTAGGTTGGGGCTCACGAGGCGTTCAGTGCCCCGAGGAAGGGAGAGAGCTCTTCATCTCCTCTCCTCTCCTTTGGCTTCAGGTGGTTTTGCAGCCATCGTGCAGAAGCCCTGGATTTGGATCTGAAACATTTAAATGAACAAAAGAGCTGAATATTTGTGCAGATTGGGCCAGATCAGAATTATATCAAGAGTTTGTTGCTTAACCTGCTGTAATCCCTCGTGGAAGCTCAATTTCGAGAGGTGGCGGTGAGATGTCAGGAGCAGGGGTAAGGCGCTGGGGGGGGGATCTCTCGCAGGCCCCCTGGAGAAGTGAAAGCCACCCCAGGGCACTGTGCTGACAACTGCACAGCGGGAGCCTCCTCCAAGCTGTTTCCTACGAGCTACACTAGCGATTTGTGAAGTCCCGATGCTGCTGCATCTCTCGCCTCTTCCTCCTCTTCCTTCTCTGCTAGTGACTTTTCCCTAGGACAGAGAATGCTTGCACCAGTCAGGCCCATTCAACGCTACTGGGTCTGGTTGTCGGTGAGGTCTGAAATCTATTTTTTGATGGGTAGCTGTTGGTGACGCAGGGGCTGGAATCCCATTTAAGGGTGCTTGAGGGTCGCAGCGCTGAGAGGGGCGGTGGGATGCAGTTCTGGGATGTGATTTTCCCCTGGCTTTGACACTCTTAGGAGGAGCTCTGTCTCTTCGACTCTCCCAACTTTGGAGCCTGACAGAGTGACCTGGGTGGCGAGGGCTTCCCACCGTACGGTTGCCAGGTGCGGGTGGGAGGAGATGTGGCGTCCCCTCTCCCCGCGGTCCCTTCCCCTCCGGGGACCTTGGCACAAACTGCTCTCCGTAGGGATGGGCAGGAGAATACTCTTCCTGCATCTACGTGTTGAGCTCAGGAGCCATCAGTGAGGAGCCAAATTGAATTCTTGCTTATGTTTTAAATTAGAGTGAAAGTCATTAGGCCAATGCCCAAAAAGCAGTTATTTTTGTCACTTGAGGCTGAAAGGTTTGTTTCTAGGGACAAAGCCACCCTTGGTAAACACTGAACGAGGACCAGGATGACTCCAGAGATGAACGAGTAGATTTGCTTTCCCTATTATCAGAAAACAACAACAAAAAAAACCAGAAACCAGTAGCTTGAATCTAAGAGTCTGAATTAAATCATTACACAGCTTAAAAGACTAAAAATGTGTATGTGTGTGTGCGCGTGTGTGCACGTGCGCGTTGTATGTGTGTTTATGTACGTATGTATATCTATATGTATGGAGAGGGGAACAAACCTAACTCGTACTCTTTAACTAATGGTTTACTCAAATATTCTTTATTATACTTTGATAAGTGTTATAATTCTATGAGAATTAAAAGCAATCAGAAATCTACTTTGCACAAGCCAACCGATTTTTTTTTTCCCCCACTGGAAAATGCAAGCAAAATGGCAAGGACTTTTGGCAATAGAATGTCCAGATAAATATGCCAGATTCCTTCCAAATGGCATTATTAAAAATAGTCACAATGCTGCTAAAAACTGTTATTAAATGAAATAGGAACTATTGTGTTAATGTATTCACGGTATTTAATTTATTCTCTGAGTGTATGTAAAAGGAAAGGCTATTTTCTTTGAATTTTTCCTATGCTGATATTGTAAACTATATGACAGATGGGTCAAGTCCTGATTGCAGTATTCTAACATTTGGAATAGCAAGTAACATATTTGATAGAGCTGGCAAGTTTTTATATATGATTCAACCCAGAATATAAAAGCCACTAGAATTCCAAGTTGAAAATAATTAAATGAGCTGGAAACGATCAGGAACCACACATTTTTAAGTGACAGATTTTTTTACATGTTTAAATTGCACAAGAATATTTTATAGCTCCCTTTAACCAACAGTGACGTTTAATTCTAAAATGTGTAATTGATATTTGCAAAGCAATTAATTCCTGTGGCTCGTTATTCTATTGCTAAATGTACCTAAGCGCCAGGGCGCTGACTTAAAGTCATCTTTTTCAGTTCACCTTTTCTGAATTCCAGAGTTTTAACTGAATTAACCTATTTTGGTTTCCTCGTGTGGCTGCCTGAAGTGCAGTTTCAAACTTGCATTGAATTTTTCGCTTTCTGATTGCACGGTACCGTAGGATGTTGGAATCTGCTGGCTTCTAGAATACGTGTTGTCAAATGGTGTCATTACCGTGTAATAGTCCAAGTACCGATAAGCAAAAACCCAGCAGCTTATTCCATTTGTATTTGGTCATTTCTGCTTATGTTCCTTTCAAAGTTTCCATCTTTTTGTCACTGTTTATGAAGTCATTTGTCTCTTTACTTTTGGCGTCTCTCTCCGTCATGCACAAGCAGCCCGTCCGCCCAAGCCTAAGCCACCGGCTGGGCCACCACCATCTCCTCAAACGCAGACTAACATGATAAATCATATGCTCAAAGGCATGGCCAAACAGCCGCCAAGTACTGTAATAGTCTTTCTTCCTTTTATTCAGTGGTTTTCTAGTCTAGCAGTTGCTTGCGTAGTAGTAGAAAGCTAGTTCTCATGTGCAGCTTTATACCAAATACCTAGCGCGATGTGGTAGGTTTTAGAGATTTAGAGGTAGCATTTATTTCAAAATGTCCACATTTTTTTGTCTAGCAATGTCTGACATATGCAACATTTTCAAATATCAACGTCAGCACAAAATAACATTGTTGTTGCATAACATTTTGCATGAAAACTATAAATATGTATGAGCTTTACATGATGTTGGATGAAATGTTTGATAAGTATATCGTATACGTTTCATGTAACTGTCAGTGCTCCAGCTATCTTAGCAGAATATTCTGATGTATAGTAACTTAACCAGGGAAATATTTAAAATAAGAAGAAAAAAAATTAAGATTGACATCTGCTGGCTGCCAAAGTTGTATAAGCATCAATATTTTCTTTAAAGACAGCATCTCTGAGCAGTTGTTCTTATTAACACTTTTGTCTTTTAGTTGTATTTGAGAGCAGATCAGTGTTGCAAATGAGAATGGGCCTGATGCTGCTCTGATCAATGCAAAAGCTTCCCCTTGGCTTCCGAGGTGCAGAAACAACCAGAGCTTACTGAGGGACGTCTCTTTGGACTCCTTTTGCAAAAGGAAGAGGTTTCTGCTTCTTGTAGCGAGTGAGGTGCTGGGTTGAAGAAGAGAAAGAATGAGGAGTTCACCGGCAGTTCTCCAATTCCAGTATTTCCCAATAAATTACATTCAGGGGAACCTGGATTTGTTTGTTTGTTTCCAGTGATATAAGAAACAAAAGGAAAACTGGAGAAGATACCCCCAAAGTCCCTATTTGTGGCATAAATCAGCAAAAAATGTAGAGTTTATTTGCATGGTGCATCACCAAGTTGCATCTCTCAGCCAAGTGAGCTGAGGAACTCCAATGCCAGATTTCATCTGACCAGGTTGCGGAGCTCCTCTGGAAACCACCCGTGTACCCCTCACTTGACCCCCCGAGATGTGGCCATTCTGAACAATACGGCTTTCCTTTTTGTGGGAAATTGTTTACCTCTAAACGGGTGTTCAGGGAAAACTAGGAGCAGGCAAGATTTCGAGGGGGAGAACCAAGTCCTAGAAGCTCACCGAGCCTTCAGCAAGGCAGGGATTTCTGCCGGGGTGACCCAGCAGAGCAGAGTGGTGCCATCTGCCTGCAACCACAGGGTTCTGTCCGTGCAACCACAGGGTTCTGTACCATCAGTCAAGAAAACCTAAACGCTAGTAAAAAACTAGGAGGTGCAGAAGGCCGGAGCGAGGTGCCCACCCAGTGCCTTGCGTGCCAGCACCACCCAAGCTGCTGGTTTAACTGGTCTCCTTTGGACATCCCGGGGATGCTCGTAACGGCGCTTCAATGCTTGCACTGCTAGCGTTTTGCTGTTTTGGGGACATGCAGTCTGTTGTACACTGCTAATTGCAGATCTGTTCGGCTATTTGGGCAGGTTCTGAACCCATTTCTGAATTCCCCAGCTTTGATATCATGGAGAGGACACAGCGTAGGTCAGTGGGGAGGTATGACTTGGCTGGCGTAGCTGCCAAAACGCCATGCCGTTCTCTGCCCTAGCTGCGCTAGAGAGCCGGGATCGGCACCTGGTCATTAACCGGAGGGACAGATCGGTGGTTAACGTGGTGAGGTGCCGCAGCGTGGATGGATGCCTGGGGAGCAGGTTCTCCTCGGGGCAGCCACCGCGGGGAGACTTTGCACACCTCCGGGCTGCGCGCCGCGGTGTCAGCACGCAGAAACCTCCTCGGCCGCGCTCAGCCAGCCCTGCGGAACCTGTCCTTCAGTGGAAACGTGCCTGTTTTCTTTTTCCCTGTACTATTCCTAGCAAAACGCTCTAAATGTTTCAGATTGTTACCATCTCGGATCTTCAATATGTGATTAATAATATAAATTACCTAGAAGGGTATAATTTAATTCTTTTCAAAACCTCTTCAGAAAACGCTGCGAAACAGCTCAATGTAGCTAAACACCAAGCTCCAGGATTTAAACTCTTTGGTTTGTTTGCGGGGTTTTTGCTGTAAAGTTGCATCTCTTTTCCCATATAAATCTTACCTATGAACGCCTTAGTGGGATTTACCACTTCCCACTCCCTCCAGCATGCGTAACTCCTTGACCCTTGTGGAGTTAAATCCTGGAGCGAGGCAGACCTGCAAATTTTGCTTTCAGTAGCAGGTGACATTTGAATTGCTCAAGTCTGACGATTTATTGAAAGTACAGGCAGATTTCTTTGAATTGATCTTCTTAAAAGAATTTTAAAATAATACATATGCACATGATTTCTATAATAGCATCGCCTACATTGAAGGATACGTACTGTTCATATATTAGCGGCCAGATGCTGTCTTTAGGGAATGCGATGTTCTTATTTGAGCTAATAACGTGCCGCCATCTCACCATAAAGCAAAACAACTCTGACGGTATTGTGAAATTTGGAGCTGGAGCACTGTATTTTCATAGTATAATAACGAATGTGGCTTTCTGGTTTGCTCAGTACTAATTATATAAGCATTTTAACATATGCATGAAAAGATCTTTAAAGCTGTAGAGTATTATGGGATTTTTTTTTTTTTCTTAAACCTCTAAAATGACTTACTGTACTTCTAGCTTTTCATTCTGCCTCCCTTTTAACTCGAGTTCTTGTACTACAGAAAATGTAGGCCGGTTAGTCACACCAGCTAAAAAGTTAGAAGATACAATACGTCTGGCAGAATTGGTAATTGAAGTCCTACAGCAAAACGAAGAGCACCATGCGGAGGTGAGCAGCGGCACCCTGCGAGGTCGTGTCCCCCAGGTCTTCGGCAGCTTTGTCTATTCGTGTCATGTCTTCCCAACTGGTGCTGGGTTATATCTTCTTTAAAAGCCGAAAGTATTCTTAAATAACGGTGCCCGAGCGCGATGAAGGCGAAATTCAGTTCGGGAAGATTGCTTTGGCAGAGGGGAGGGAGGGCGAAAGGAGGGATTAAGTAAGTTCTGCTCTCCTCTACATCAGGCTGCAGCCTTTCATACAACGCCAGCAGGAGCCGAATCTGGCCAAATATATTCACCACCAACTACATACAAGAGCAAGCCTGTCCACTTTTGAGAAAGGTCCTATTTAAAAAAAATCCCATGCGTTTGTGCCTCCGGACAGCGTTAGCGGGGTCCCTGCAGCCGCGTACCGCTCCTGCTGTCCGGAGACGGAGCGAGGAAAACCATCGCAAAACAAAACCATTCTTTTTTTTTTCCTTTTTTTTTTTTGTCCCTTTCTGAGCATTCAGGTTGTTTCCAGGGGTTTCCCTGGGCCCCTGCAGTACACCATTAACTCACCTGGTTTCCTGCTGGCCTCTTCTGCCTCGGCTTGTTGGGAATACCTCAATTACTAGCCATGGAGGTTAGGATGAATTGTTCTCATTATTTGGGTTATCTAAGCCTAATACAACTACTCTTAACTCTTCGAAGCACTTTAATGGAAAGATTAATGTTTTAAAACCGCTGAAACCGTGTCATGGTCAAATATAGACCAGAAAATCATGAGGCTTGATCCTGGAAACGCTTGAGCCCACAGGCAGCTGACATTGCTGGCTGTGGTCCCGCTCTCAGCACGTCGGGACATTTCTGCCCGAGCAAGTGACGTTGCAGACCCGTGTGAGTATTTGCAGGATTGAGCCCTCTGTCCTCTATAGATCTGGTGCTCTCGGATACATATTGAAAAGTGAATCGGTTTGAAATTCAGAGTGAACGGTTTCTGTTTATGACTGTAGGTAATGTAACACTCATTCACTATTTTCTCTTTTCCTTCCCATTGATATATATACGCACTATATTTTGCATTAAGAGCATTTGATAAATAATTTCACAGTCACCTAAAAATCATTCCAGTGTATATTAAATTTGCAGTATAATTTAAGTTATTGATAATCCACAACAATCCGCAACACCCAACTAATGCCTGATTGCATATTTAAATTTCCTCCCTGTTTTTCTACTGTTCATTCAATCTTGGATGATCCTGGCAGGGGAAAGAGGTATGTGACTAAACCGAATGAAACGAGTCACTCCTGTCATATTTCGTGCATGCCCTCTCAGTGCCATGTTTCCTACTGGGATTTTACCCGGGTTGCCCTCGCTTCCGTAACTTTGACCGAGGAATGTAACAGCAACTTCGAGTCGGCTGCTTGCGGAGCTGGTAGCCTGACACAGGAGGGTAAATGTGGCATAGCAGTCCGGTCCATGCATGTAGCAATGGGTATATTTTACGAGCGCTGCAGTTACATCCCAACACAACCCTACCTGCCTGGACTCTCCTCAGCCTGTCGTTACCTCTGTCGTTTTGCATTCACCTGACCTCTAGTACACTGTGGTGGAGATGGACCAAGTACTACACGAGTGCCTAGAATGGTAGTGGTCTTCCTCTGGTTTTGTCTGTATGTGCCTTGTACTGGATATACAGTATCTATATGTAGAGAGAGAATATACGGGGTGAAGAGTGAAATAAACTTCATTTTTACAAAAGCAAGGGGGTACTCGAGAGCGCTGCGCTTGCGCACAAATAACCTGTCCGAGGATAACCGAGTCTTTTATTCCACTCATCACCAGCACAGGCTGGATGTGCAACCAGCCGGGAAGGAGCTGTTATTAAAACGCAGGTTATTTTGAAAATAGTAGACTTCTGAAGGAAGCGGTTCCAGGGCCGGTCGCGTTCAGCCAGCCACGCTGCCGACATCCTCACCAGGAGGAAGACTCAGAACTGTTCTCCAGCGTCTTTTGTGTCACGAGGTTTTGATTAGAGACAGAAGGTTAATGCCAACACAGATAGGAGGCATCCCGGTCCCTTGTTCTGAACGGTGACCTGGAAGGGTGAAATCCATCTCTCTCCAGAAGCCCGGCACGCTGTCGGTACGTTATTGAATCCCTGTCCTGAGGGTGGCTGTGGCATTTCAGCAGTGTACAGGCAGTTGGCCAGCTCTCTGCACACTTTGAATTGCACCCAAAGGAAGAGAGAGAAGAGGCCGGGTGGTTTATCACCGATTTTTATTACGCACTGTAGCTACATTATGCTCTCACTGTGCAATGAGGATTGCTGAGGTGTTGCACTTATTTTTTTCAAATTATTCCAGGTGAGGTGGTTTTTGACATGTTGTCCATTCACCTGGAGAAGGTTCAACCTGCGAGGTGCAACTCTTTGGTCTACTTTGGATGTTCAGCAGAAAATTAAATTGCACCGCTTACTGAAGAAATGCCTCAATTTACTGAAAACCAACAGTTTTTGCAATTAAAACATGCCCCTTTTTTCCCCACATGGACATCCAGGCAGAGTCCCTAATGAGAACCCAGAAAATAATACTGAGAGCATGGAAAATGTTCAAAAAACATTACGACAGAAGTACCGTGTCTAGTCAGTTGGGTTTGTCTTACCCGTCAGGAGGAGGCAAACCAGCGCAGGCAGCGATGCAGCAGAAACCGTGTGCCTACGTCTGTAATCTGTGAGAGCGGGAGGTCTCTGTCATTGTGTCATCTCTCCCATCAGATGTCTCCCACCCTTTCCGTTCCTCTGGATGACTGATGACAAATGCCAGAGACGATGCCATTCACCTATTTTTAAACTTGCGTTTTCTCTCTCTATGTATACGTATGTGTATATGTATATATGTATTTTAACTCCTTGAGCTCATACATATATACATGTGTATCCATGTGTAAAATATACAATAATGGGTGTGTTTGGCTAGAAAGCACACTTCCCCTCCCCCCCCTTTACATTGTGTTTTGAGCAAAGCAGGTAAGTAGATGGTAAATAAATGAAATGTTACCATCTTGAAGGAGATTTTCAAAGTATGGTGTTACTGCTCCCACCGCAGGAAGGTCCTGCTCCCCGAGACTAGGGAGGAGGAGGTTGAGGATCCTGACATAAGTTAGAGACTTACAGAGCAAAAATTTGACTTTTCCAGCAAAAGGGAAACTGTGACTGGTTTGGGCTTTTTTTTTTTTTTCCCACAAATGATCGCATGCTTTTCTTCACAATAGCTTCTTTTTTCTCCTTTTTCATGGAAGCAGGTTTTTATTGCAGGACTCTGAAGTGTCTATGTTGGCATTTGTTGCAGAAGATATTCTTTGGCCTCCCCTCTTTTCCCGCCCCATACAACGCCAATTGCAGTTGGCCCTTCGTAGCAATCGCTGTTTGCCCGCAGACCTGTGGGCAGTGTCTGACGGGAACACAGCCCGGCAGGCTCTTGGCAGGCAGAGGCACAGCCGGAGAAACCACATCCATGCAAGGACAGCCCTGGCATCCTCCTTGAAAACCACAGGCGGGAGCTACTAATTTTAAGAGGACCCTCTGCATCCCCGTGGCTCAGCATCCGCTGGTTTCCCACCTGCGCTTTGGGGAGAAGGTTTGAGCAGACCTGGGGCTTGATGTTTGCGGTCCCTGTGCCGTTTCGCAGCGATTCGACGCCTCCTGATGCAGCGCATCCAGGTGTCCAGCTGTGCGCTCGGTTGGACGCCAGCACCAAACGTGGGAGGAAGAGCTGAAGAGCGTGGCCACACGTGCTCAGCCCTCCGGGCTCCCTCACCTCAGTTTTGGCTTTCCCAGAGTAACGCCTCTGCAAACACCCAGGGCCACCATCGCATCTGAGACTGAGCTTTCCAGGCACCCCACGGCGGGTGTTGCTGTAGCAGTGGCCACCGGCTTCCTCCATGTGCTCGGAGCTGGCAGCAGTTTGCGGGCAAAGGAGCCCGCTGTGGCCACCTTGTCCCCACACCATGACCATGGGGACACTGTAACCTGCTGGTGTTGCCGCTTCGGGCACAACATTTGCCCAGGGCATGGCCCACCTCGTCCACAGCTTCACCCCCAGGACAGGGCAGGCCCAATACTAAGATTAGTTTGGGGGTTATTCAGTTATTTTGGTTATTTTACATCTTGGGTGTGCTCTGGGTGCATAACACCCAGTGCCACATCCAACCTATGTATGTCTTAACACGTTTTGTGTCAACTTGTGGAATAATAGCAGGGCGATGTCAGTCAGCTTTATATTTTGGGGGAATGAAGGAGTGGAAATAGTCCCAAAGACCCCCTGCTGACATCACTGGCAGCTGAGAATCAGGGCAAAATAGGAAGAATTAAAGGGGTCCATGGCAGTAACCTGGTTTTGAGGCACTGCTCCCTCTCCATGGCCGAGTGAACCAGCAGCTGGAGTTGTGCACATCGGTGCAGTTCTTCATCCGGGAATCCACACTGAACCCCGAGAAAGTGAAAGTCCATTTTGCTTATTCATGTCTGCCAAAATCTGCAAAAAATACCTCTCCCTGACCGGCAATTCCTTTTCGAACTGATTCATCAATTCCCAGTCTTACCCGTTTCATCTCCAGTCTTGTGCCTATGCTAGAGCTTTCTTTTTCTTGCAAAGTGCCGGAAAGCTGTTTCTTAGATCCTTTAAGTCCCTGAGTAATTTCCTATCACTTCAAAATGACAGCACATGGTCCTAACGACAGCACTTCTCATATTGCATGTTCCCAGCCAGAAGTGATTACTAAACACGCATGCATGCGTTTGCAGCATTCACATCTGAGCCATGTATGATGTGAATGTCGCGTCAGAGAGCCCGAACACTGAATTTTAAGGACCCATGTGCATGAGAATGAGTTACTTCAGTGATATTTTTTGGCTTTCAAGTTTAGATCTATTTTTTTCCTGCCTCTATGAAAATACAGCTTTGCTGTAGATATTTTTTTTCATCTTGGCATGTTGATAATAGAGCTTTGTAATCGGTTTCCTAATCAGTAGCATTATGAAGGTGGTAGTGTGTTTCTATGGATGTGTATAGCTAACCATGTAAAATGAACAGTGCTGTAATAACTTTTACTGGTGATGCTTGAAATGTTTCTAAAGAAGAGTGTGAGTGATCTAGGACAGATTTTAATGTCTTAGGCTTCTAGTTTTTCAAGACAAACAGAAGTAGTGAATCCAAATAAAATTTAAACTGTTGAAAAGTACAGCAGGAAACCCACAAGCACAGTGAAGAAACTCCCAAATTTCTGTACTTTAGAATAAGAATTAGTTGATTTTTCTGATAATTAAAGATGAACGCAGTCATTTATTGTAAATTGAACAGACAAAACCTTCTCTGCCATGTTACAGCTGCATGCCGTTACGGTGGAGCTCTGAATAGATCCTCTACAAGAAACCTTTGTATGAAAATAGCAGTGCCTAATTCCTGTGATTAGCACTGTCTGTGCAGGCTAGCACTTTAAGCACTGTTCTCTTTACAATAAAGGTAGTTTCCATGGGATGCACTTTTTTTTTTTTCTTTGAGATAATGTGGCCTAACATCTTTCCCTGTGCTTTATTAGAACTAATATACTTCTTTGTTATCTTTTTCTACCAACTCTGAAGGCCTTTGCTTGGTGGTCAGACTTAATGGTTGAGCACGCGGAGACCTTCCTGTCACTGTTTGCAGTGGATATGGATGCTGCGTTAGAGGTGCAACCCCCAGACACCTGGGACAGCTTTCCGCTCTTTCAGCTTCTAAACGATTCCCTCCGTAGTGACTGTATGTATTGTATTTTGATAATTTCTTTTTCAGTGGGCAGCTCAGGTTACTGATAATACTTTCAGCCTCTCCGTACTGCACAGAGAACTGAGATGGGTAGAGGTTTACACTATGTATTCTTTTAGCATCAGCTTGATTTTGTTCCATTTCCACTAGAAAAAAAGACACACAGACACCCCTTAGATCAAATGCCTCAGTCGAAGGTGAGAAGTTGAACTTCTATTTTGCTTCATCTTCTCACGTCTCTTGGTAATAGCTGCCTGATAAGCAGGGAATTAGGTGCTCTATCTCACTGTCATTAAATGTGTGTATCGTTTTATATGTGTGTACTGCATTGATTTAACATGGAGTTAAACAGTCCCTGCTTTAAAAGGTTTTACTGAAGGGAGGAAGAAATTAAAACTGAAGTAGTAGTTTGGAAGAATAGTGCTTGGTGAAATAAGGGTCTTCTCCAAAGCACGTGAGCCCGTGCCTTAAAAGCCCTTGGGGATGTGGCCCTCTCCCAGGTGGTCCTGCCGCTCCCCGGGTAGCCGGTGGCAGAATTGGCATCGCCTTCAGTTAGATCCCAGCCCGGGGCCCCAGTCAGCTTTCTGAGACCACATGAAAAAGCCAGGGACTCGTCCTCAGAGACCAATTTCTGGCATCATGGTCACGAGTAACCAAAGAAGAAATGATTCTCCTACCTGCTAAAGCCATAATGTTTGCCATGCTGTATTTCTTACATCCATTTGATTCACAGGAAGTAATAATGTATTTGTAAGTTTGACATTAATGGAGAAGAAGATTTGTTGTCTGTTTATTTGTTTGGAGTAAG